CTTATCAAAATATAACGCTTCCTCAAACAAATAATCTCTTTCTTGACCTATGTGTGTAGTTAGAAAAATTCGGGGTAATGTGACATGAAAAAACACAGTGGACCCTGCACACCATTGCCCACATAATTATAATTGATTTTGATATATTTTATTTRTCTGAAACTAAYTAAATTCACAWTCGATATTTTGRTTCTTATTGCAGTTCCTCACSAARCAACCRAATAAACGCCTYGGTTGTGGGCCCACCGGCGAGGCRGATGTGCGTATACATCCGTTCTTYCGACGAATCGATTGGGAGAAAATCGAGAATCGTGAAGTTCAGCCGCCATTTAAGCCCAAAATTGTAAGTGAGAGCAAAAACAAAAAGCAAAAGTTTCAAAACCTTAATTCTATCTTTTGATTATTTCGCCAATATTCTTCTCTTCTCTCTTTTTTCGCCCAAATAACTGTCGACACACGTTTTCGCTATGTGAAATTAATATGCAAATACCTCACGCTATGCACACACACACATATACTCGGTAACTCATACACAGAAACATCGCAAAGATGTCTCGAATTTCGATAGGCAATTCACTTCGGAGAAAACGGATCTGACACCAACGGATAAATTATTTATGATGAATTTCGACCAAACGGAATTTAGGGGTTTTTCCTACGTGAATCCGGACTATGCGGTGCCAGTTTAAAAGCACTGAAACTCCGCACACAAACACACACACCCAAAAGCACTTCGTTGGGCCAGCGTGCGTAAGAATTGAAAGGACACAACCAGGTTAAGAAAAGCGAAAGCTCGGGAGGGAGTGAGATAAAGCGTATGCGAGGATATAACATTGTTTAAACGGCAGCAAGCAAGTGCACTAGGAAATCAAGGGTTAGTCAGCTGCATTGTCGTTTGGTGCGTAAGTGTATATATTGTTGCGGTGCGTGTTTTTCGAGCACACTGTACTGTCGTGTGAACGACGTGCCATTATAAGGCGCGAAAGCCACAGTGCGGAACTTTAATCCACTAAAACCAACCTACCCCCAACTCAAGGCTATCCCACGGAACCACCAAATAAGGTATTACTTTCTGGGAGTGACAAGACATGTTGAGACTGACACCTATTCTGCTGTAGATGTTTTAGAATTGTCGCAATGGAAGTTACCGCTTCACGAACAGACGACTTTCTTCATGAATGGAGGGTATTCGGGTGCAGCATGTGAGAGGAAAAAGCTTCGAAAATATTACGTGTGGAGTTTTGGAAGATTCAGCTATCAAGCACATGTAACGAAATATAAAAGTGCTCGGCAAGGGCTCTATGCTGTAAAAGTGTTACGTAAAGATGTCATTATACGAACAGATGATATGGAATTGCCCATGACTGAGAAGAGAAGCAAACCATCATTTTTGGTCTCCCTACACTCGTGCTTTCAAACCATGGTAAGTGTGATCTGATTGTTCTGTATGTTTTTTAGCTTATGTGCTTTTGTCTTCAGGCTATAACCACACCNTGACACCAACGGATAAATTATTTATGATGAATTTCGACCAAAYGGAATTTAGGGGTTTTTCCTACGTGAATCCGGACTATGCGGTGCCAGTTTAAAAGCACTGAAACTCCGCACACAAACACACACACACCCAAAAGCACTTCGTTCGGACAGTGTGCGTAGGAATTGAAAGGACACAGCCACGAAAAGAAAAGCGAAAGCTGGGGAGAGAGAGCGGAATTAAGCGTATGAGATGATATTGTCGTTTGGTGCGTAAGTGTATATATTGTTGCGGTGCGTGGTTTTCGAGCACACTGCACTTTCGTGTGAACGACGTGCCATTATAAGGCGCGCAAGCCAGAGTGCGGAACTTTAATCCACCAAAACCAACCTACTCCCAACTCAAGGCTCTCCCACGGAACCACCAAATAAGGTATTACGTTCTGGGAGTGATAAGATATTTTTAGACTGACGCCTATTCACCTGTGGATCTCTAAGAATTGTCGTAATGGAACCTACCGCTTCGCGAAAAGACGACTTTCTTCATGAATGGAGGGTATTTGGGTGCAGCTTGTGAAAGGAAAAAACTTCGAAAATATTACGTGCCGAGTTTTGGAAGATTCAGCTTTCAAGCACATGTAACGAAATATAAAAGTGATCGCCAAGAGCTCTATGCTGTAAAAGTGTTAGATTATAGATGTCATTATACGATCAGATGATATGGAATTGCCCATRACTGAGAAGAAGAAGCAAACCAGCATTTTTGGTCTCCCTACACTCGTGCTTTCAAACCATGGTAAGTGTGCCCTGATTGTTCTGTACGTCTTTTAGGTTATGTGCTTTGTGTTCAAGGATCGCTTGTTCTTTGTTATAATAGTGAACCTATGTCAGCAGATCTATGGCCATCTCAAGGAATCTRTAGCTGTATAAAAGTTCTGAAGTAGAGCTTGCCGAATTCAGTTTGAGTAAGGAAGGTATTGAAGAACGTGAATCCAACAGAACTTTCTGTAGTACGAATGTATACATGGCGCCAGAGATAAAYTCCAAGCATTATACTTATAATTATAATAACTGTACATTTCATTACAGATACCAAACTATGAACCTTATAACCACTCCGTCGATTCGTGGTCTTTCGGTGTTTTGATTTACGAAATGTTGACGGAACGGAGGAGAACACGTTCAAAAATATTAAAGATAAGAAAGCAGTCTTTCCGAAACACTTATCTCAAAAGTTTATGGATGTGCTAACTAGCGTGAGTAATTTTAGAAGAAGAGAACTCGTTGTCGACAGTGTCTTTTGCTTGTAATTTCCTTGCTAAGAAGCCAAACAATCGTTTAAGTGCCGGACGCTATGCACGCTCTGAGGTAACCATATATCCATTCTTTAGGAATATTGACTGGTATAAGACGGAAGCTAAGGAAATGGAGCCACCTATTGTGCCAAAAATTGTAAACGCTGAGCTAAAGGCTTAACAGTCGTTATCAGTAAGTGATAAT